CATGTCCTAGCATTGATTTCTGGGCCCCAACTTTGATTTCCAGGGCCCAACATTGAATTCCAGGCCCCAACATTGATGTACATGTCCCAACATTGATGTACATGTCCCAACATTGATGTACATGTCCCAACATTGATGTACATGTCCCAACATTGATTTCTAGGGCCCAACATTATATTTCAGCCACAGAATGGCTTTCCAGGCCTCATCGTCTTGTCTTGCCTCAATTCTTTTAAGGTAGTTCATGTGGAAGTAGTTTAGTTCTAAATACTAGTCACTAGACTGCCAGCTTGTTTGATATGAACTCTGGACAGTCGTACGGTGTTCTCCAAAGTCCCGGATTTGAACAATGCCCGCGGATATCCTTCGTCGTTCTGCAGGAGGTTTTGGTTAGGTTGACATTATCTTCCGAAATCTGAACGAACATCCGAATTGTGAAAAACAAAAACAAAAACTTTTACTTGTTTTAGAGGAACAAGCAATTTAGCGGGGATAACAAAGCGTTACGTAGGCCTAGGGGCGGACTGGGTGTTGAAATCGGCACTGGCATTTCTATACAATCCGGCCCATAACGTGTAGCCTATATCCTATGATGGGCATCCAATTCTAAGCCTACCTGTCCTCAAAGTCATTCTGTTAAATTTAAAAATGTATCGATATGCATGCATACAGTGAACTCTAAATCTGTATAGAAATAACGGCCTTATGTTGCTTTTTTAATCGCTAGATGTGTTGGCCCTAAAAGGATGAAGCCGACTAGTAGCACTGTCTACGGATGTAGGCTATCTTATTATTTCTGAAAATGTGTTAGATTAAAATAGTATTACACTGTAGAGTCTGTGAAAGTTGTTTTTTTAACACAAAGCTCAGAGGGCCCTTTTATAAGGTTTTATAAAATCTTTAACAACTTGATGCGTGCCATAATGGCAACATGAGGCCCTTTCGTGGCCCTATCAGTCCATTAGTGATCCGCCCCACCGGGCATTTGCCCAAATGCCCATATAGCCAGTTCGCTCGTGCTTAGGCCTTTAACTAAATGAATAAAAGGATTGTCTTCTCAACTTCAAGTTGAAAATGTATCCCACAGACATAATATATATATATATATAATATATATATATAGGTCTGTGATGTATCCATAATTTCTCTGTAGAGACATGAAAGAGCACTCCAATTACTGTTCTTCTCTTCAACAAATACATTTAGGCTAGAGTTATCTACCTTTTATAAATGTTGACCCAAGCATGACCCAACTGTTAAAATAAAAGAAATCGATACAACGGTCTCACGTTAAATGTTTTAAAAATGTAGCCCTCTTGAGATCGATCAACTTCTCATTTTACTAATCAAGTATCGAATACTATCTTTGACGGCAATGGGACTGAGGCGCGTTTCGCTTTTCTTTGGCAAATATTCATGAACACTTTACAAAACTAATCGTGTTTGTGTCTATGTTCAACCCATACAGAGAAATCTCGTCAATCTAAATAGACAGATTGACACTCACGAAGTCAAGGAAATGTAAACAAAAAAACAACGTTCCCCTTTAAGACCATGCGGTCTATAGGAGAGGTGAAGGTCATCTGTTTTTATGGCCCGCGGTTAACGAGGGTGTCATGTGGCCAACAAAACCACCAACCGCCTTTACTTTTCCCAACTAATGACAGAGGCACCCTAAGGATTCCGAAACTGAAAATCCCAGTATTTACCAGGATTCGAAACCGGGAGTTCCGGTTTGGAAGCAAGCGCTTTACCACTCAACCACCGCGGCTATAAAAGAAATGAAGGGAGTTCATTAGATCGGAGGGGGGGGGGGGAGGGGTTCCAAGTTCTGATTTATTTCTTTTTTTTTTTATATTCAACTACATTGTTTTTTTTTTGTTGTTTTTTTTTAGAAAGTTTAGGCCATTCTTTCAGAAGCTAATTTAAACTTCGTACAGGACGACACGGGAATGAAGGCGGGGGAACGGTCCCAACTCAGGAACTTTGTGACCACAGTTCGAAGCGCATACCACTACCACACGACTAAACAGCGTATGCGCGCTATGGGATAAGGGTATACTCCCTCTTCCTTAGCGAGTGCTATCTACACCGTAACGGTACTTCGGAAAGCCAAGTTAAAATTAGGATTTCTTCTTTTCTTCATTTGTCTATCCATTGCTCACAGTTAGGTTCGAGGGTGACATTATCTATCTCAACAGTGACCTAATTGCATCCAGTGACATTAAATACTATGACTGCAATTGTATATCGTCAGCTCCCTGTATTTTAAATTAATAACAATAAAAAGATTGATTTTAGAAAAATTACACCCTAACAATATTTGTATACATAGGGAGATTTTAAAAAGGAGCAAACTATTAATGCCACGAAAATTTATTTCCCACTTGAAAAAAAAAACAACAACTATACAATTTAAAGATTTATAACAAAATAATAAAAATAAAATAAATTACATGACTGAACCAAAATAATTGATTGCAAAGTGCTACTCCATATTCATAACAAGATCCCTGTGGAGGGGAGGTGCTATTAGCAAGCACAATTCAAATGAGTCAAATCACAAATACAAAATCATTTACATAGTCCCCCCTTCACTTTGTGATTACTGATATGAGTTATCTTTCCTTTTATTGAAGGCATTCCTGGCAGTGTCAGAGAATGGCATTGAAACATGATTGTAATATTGCAATGCAAAGTCAACAATAACATCAATACTAATGACTTCTCTGAGATCTCCCGCATGACGACAGGGGAAAGCAGTGGGCAAGGCTCGAACTTGGGACTAACATGACAACAATCACAGACCTATGTGTATGCCACACGACCAGAGATGTTTGGATTTAACATTTTTTTGTGGTCAATGCATAGAATTGAGGTTTTATAGTATTCTATACTATATTGTCTACTTACGGTACACTACGGAAGCCCAGTGTGATCAATTATCCTAAAATCAGGAGCTAAATCGAAGTATATGTCAATCGAAGTTCCGGTTATGCATGCCAGTAACCCTTTGACTACTAGAAGACACCCAATAGGGGCTTACAGTTTTCGGGAGGAGGGAGCGGGGCAGGAGGACAGTGCCCCAAAAGCATCAACCCTCACTCAACCAGCTGATAAGGTGGAGAATAAAAGAGAGGATCTAGGGTGAAAGGGAGAGAATCTTGACCTGTCAGTTATGTTTTAATCTAATCAATAATGTTTGTTTACTTCACTTGGTATAGGTGCGACAGTGAGGGGAGATAACTAGATTTTCTGGTATATATTTTTTTTAGATATAAGCTCCAGTAATAAATGGCTTTCTTGGCTATTCTTTCAAATAAGGAATGGCTAAACTGTTTTGAAACAGCACGAAACGATTCTCACTCAAGGTCATACGTCATAAAATGGGAAAAGTCAGAGAACAAATGTCTCAACCCAAATATATTATTATTATATAATAGGACAGTACAACTGTGTAAAAATAAAAGATAACACTAAAGATGTGTGGAGTTAAAAGATGATAGTAAAGATGTGTTTAATTAAAAGATGACATTAAGATGTGTGGAGTTAAAAGATGACAGTAAAGATGTGTGGAGTTTTAAGATGACAGTACAGCTGCGAAGAGTTAAAAGATGACAGTACAGCTGTGTAGATTTAAAATACGTTTTCATGGTGGTGCAATGATGAGGTGACACATTTTTTTTCCTCTGGTCGACATTAACAAGCAGCGATAGTAACAGAGAATTGTCCAACCGAACACATCTAACAGATGACAGTGAAATTAGCACCAATACATTGTTTACAACGAAAGCGTAAAGATTCATAGGGGGGGGGGGGGTAGAAAATTAATTTGTTCCAACTCGTTTTGCATGAGTCATACGACATCAAGTCATATGAACATATTTAGGTCACTTTTATTTCCGTTGCTGTTTGAAACGTCATGAACTTCATGAATGGTTAAGTGTATTTACACTTTTTTTTGAGCGTCCTCCCCGCGTCCAAAGTGCACAGACGGCACATCAAAGCCTTGATCAAATAAATCAATAAGCAAATCAAATCAAACATACAAGTGATCTTATACTGCTACACAATGTGATCGTCTCTACTCACCCCATCCCTCTCTGATACAATTATGACTTTATTTATTGGACACATTTTTTTTTAATCTACTGGGAATAAAACATTAGTTTTTTTGAGCCCAAGTGGTTCTCACTATTGTTCTCGTGTACCTTGGAAGTAGGCCACGTAGTACTTCCTTTTGTTCTCGTGTACCCTACAAGTAGGCCTAAGCGGAGGATGCATTCAGTGTTATGGTGTGTGTGCTTCTATGGTGACGGTGAGAAGTTAGTGATTGGTTGGGAGCTAAGCAGTGTGAGTGATGAAATATGGGCTGATGTGTCGTAATGCAGTTGTTTGAGACGATTAAAGGACGATTTAGAGATTACTACTGTTACTTCCAGTTTTTGAGGCTCCTTTATTGTGGACTTTCACATTAAAAGTTAGCCGCAGTTATAGTCTCTGTGTTTACATTTAAATTTTTAAGATCCCTTTGTGTACGATTGGATTTAAATTTATACATGTGTTAGCTGTGTTGTTGTTTTTTCTATACATTTACTTGCAATTATTAACCAAACTATGGAACACTACAAAACAGACCTAACATGACTATGTCAATCGGTCCCTAATCAGTGGGTGGGTGTTCGAACTCGGAATCTTTATGATGACATTCTGAAGCATAGACCACACGGCCATGAGACCAGCTCAACAAAAAATGATTCTTCTAATTATAGCTCTGAGTTTATTTCTATGTAGAGAGTTTCTATTAAACATTGGGTTGCTGGTGTACAGTTTTCATGTGATCTACTCATTTTAATCATCTTGGACACGACAATGTCACAAGTAAGCGAGGTGACTCAGCTCTTTTCATTGTACGTTTCTTTCTAGTTCAACTAGTCTCTCTCTCTGTATATAGACACATATCAGATAGAATAAAATAAAATTAAACTTTCTCAAATCAGTCGTAGTTTTAATTAGTTAGACTGTCTTACAAAAACATCAATAAGCCAATGACAGAGTTTTCCAGACAGCCCTTTATTTATTACATGTAAAATTAAAAACAATATGAACATAACCAGGATGAGTTCTAATTCAAACAAACTTTTCAAGTCACATTTTTGTTATCTGGTTCTGTGTTACTGTCATTGGCTTGAGGTAGAGTTGAAAAAGTCAACATGGGACAGTCTTGAAAGTTACATCTTTTTATTTAAATATAACAATAAGTTTCACAAGAGTAAATTTGTTGCAGTTTTATTTTGAAATAATTGTTTCGAATTTAACATCTTTCTGTAATGAGCCCTTACGCTAAAGTTCAACTTTAACATCTTTCTGTAATGAACACATAAGCAAAATTCAAGACAATATTACATTTGATAATTGTTTCTGAAAAGACATTGAATAAACTACGGGACACTTTGAGTTTAGTACTTATAGAATGTCCTTTAAAAATATTTTTGACTCTTGTACTGCCATTTCTGTGCATATATCAGCCTCTGACTTGAAAATATTTATCAAATTTACTGTAAAGCTGAAAATTGAAAAAAAAAAATTCTTGAAATTGCTTGACTTCATTTTTTTAAAATTTACAGCCACAAAAATTCCTATCCCCACTACTTCTCAAAGCTAAGACTTTTCAAAGGTAAAACTTTTCAAAGGTAAAACTATCTGGCCCACTACTTCTCAAAGCTAAAACTATCTGGCCCACTACTTTTCAAAGCTAAAACTATCTGGCTGTCTAGTTCAATCTAGTGCTTACAAACTTGATAGGGAAGGGGAATCATTGAACAAAATTGAAATGAACTTGTAGGAACAGTAAGTGTTGTAAAGAAATAGCACTTATAAGACACTCATCAACAAACAGTATCCCCTACAAGACATTCAATACATTTCATAGTAGACTCAATTATATAGTCATACTCCATGATCCAATTCATTCCAATCTGCCACGTAAACCAACGAATGCACACATTGCTCATAACAAAACCCTGTCTTTGAAATTGTGAAGAACAACCTTTGGTCAGTGTCCTGGTCAAGAACTGTTTTAGGAAATGAAAACATTTTCATAATTTTTTTAAAATGCCACAATCCACCATGAGTGATTGAGACCCTCAAAAACACTTTTATAAAGTAAACAAAAACATTCAATGTGTATTAATAATAATGTAAAATATTTTTAAAACTTATCATAAGATCATGACTGTATATATAAATGGTGAACTAATGGATTATAATGCTTAAAATGGATTAAGTGTTAATCATGTTTTATACATCCAGCAAATATTAACTTTATATTTGGTGTCAACAACATAACAACAATATGTTTCTTAGTTGTTTTGCAAAAAAATATTTTTAGACGTAATGCTAATTATTGGTTCAGCAATACTTTTGGTTGCATTAATGCAAATAACAACAAGGCTTAACCATTTTAAAAAAAAACTTTTTTTCTTGAAGGAATGTCTGTAGATTAAAAAAATAAAATTGTAAAAACCACGAAACAAAATGTTATGTACTCATAGCAATGCAAATGATGAACTTTGGACCAAGCCCAACTGTTTCCTTCCCCCCCCCCCCCCCCCCCCCCCCCCCAAAAAAAATAATTCACTTTTGTTTTATAAACATTCCCCATAAAATCAACTACTTTTATAGCTTACTAAGTAGCACATTCAAAATGGTAACATAACCTAAAAGAAAAACACCATTCTTTAATGATTTCTACTATATAGTGTGTAACATCCACATTTTGTAAGTCTATACATATCGGGAAAGAAATAAAGTTCAAAGCTAATCTAGCTGTATAGATTATTATGGGTTTATAAACATCAATTTGTTTTATATAAAAAAAAAGAGGTGCATACCCCATTAATTCTATACCAAATATAATATTTTATTGTAACTAACAAAAACCTTGTTGAAATTCAATCATAACAAGGTAGTGAAATACAAATAAGCATAATCAATAATTTTGTCAGAACGTGGTAAATAATTACAGAGAAAGCTAGAGAGTTAAAAAAACAACAACTTCAGTTTCAACTTGAACAAGAATGAACTTTAAGAAGTAATAAGCACTTTCATCGGTATGTTTTCTGAAAACTTAACCTGAACTTGTACCCTACAGACTAACTTGGATATATTGAACTCAAAGACTTTCAACTTTAAAACTGTATCAAGTCCCATTTCAATGTCAATGTAGCAAATAGATTTTGGTCCAATGAAGCTCAGTTAGAAAAAAATTCATTTGGAGTACAATATAAATGTGTACATCAAGACACTGATAACAAACACATTGTCATGTAAAACTAGTGCACAACTTCAGGTCAATGCTCTAGACTTCATTAGCCCATAAGTTCATCATATTTATGTAAATGTAGTATCAATAAATTTGGTGTGCTGCTCATTTGTTTATTATAAGGCATTGTGTCCAAAATTTAGGCTATGATTACAGGCTTTAAAGTGCATAAGGCATGAAGCTTACATGTGAGTCTGTACAAGCTAATGTAATATATATAATAGGCCAGTGGAAGCAAATGTCAAGCATGACTGATAAAGGTAATGTAATATAGGCCAACTTATGTCAAGCATGTCTGTTAAAGGTAATGTAATATAGGCTAGTGAAATGTTATGAATAACCAACTGCAGAATAATGTCAGGGAGAGATAGCTGAGCTGCCCAACTTGTCCAACATGGTTAACATTAAAAAGGTGACAAGTCTGGTATAGACTGAGACTCTATGGGGATATTAAACTCTCTCAAAAAACATAAAGCATGATTACACTGTACGTCTGTCAAAAATGGCAGGTCAGTTAAATATAAATATATCAATAAAATTGTCTCAAATAGGATATTAACTTTAAACCTTCATAAAAAAGTAAAAAGAAGTTTAATGATATTCAATTTAAAATATATCTGTGAATCAATAATGAAGGTTACCAGAAGAATGAATGTCTTTAGTTAAGAACTAAGAAAAGATGACACAAAGGTATGTGCAGCAAGAAGTACTCAGCATGAGAGCAGAAGAATTGTTGAAGCATTGGTGTATTTGAAATTCTAAAAGTTGAACCTGCAAGTGAGTTCAATTTAAAAGATAATTTAATGAGATTTTCTTTAAAAACACCTCCAATATGTTAAGTTCTAGTAGAACTATTGTAAAACCTAAAATTTGTAACCCAATTTTTGTTTAATTTCTATAAAGCTGCCAAAAAAAACAATAAAATAAATGTGAATCAATGAAAAAATTCCCAGCTGCCAAGAAGATTGAATCACTTTGTAGTTTAGAGAAAAAAGGAATAGAATGATGAATGTGTACATTAGTTCAAGGTTTAAAATACTGACAAGACAATATGTACACAAGTTCAAGGTTTAAAACATTAGTTCAAGGTTTAAAACATTGACAAGACAATATGTACACAAGTTCAATGTTTAAAACATTGACAAGACAATATGTACATAAGTTCAAGGTTTAAAACATTGACAAGACACTATGTACATAAGTTCAAGGTTTAAAACATTGACAAGACACTATGTACATAAGTTCAAGGTTTAAAACATAGACAAGACAAAATATGTACATTTAGTTAGTGAAAAATAAAATACTTATACTAGAAGACATTATTTAAAAAATCCAAAAAGAAAAATACAATTAAAAAATAATGTTAATTACAAAGTCTTTTCAACATTCTTTCTCAATCCCAGAAATAAAAAGTAAAATGCAGAGAAAACAAAGTAAAAAATTATGTTGGGAAATAGCAGAAATAGAGCAACAACAAAACCTTTGGGAAATTAGAACATTTTTGTAAGCAACAAAATTAAAAAAAAAAAATCTCAATAAAAAACAAGATCAACACAAATATAACAATGCAGAATATTTTTTTCCACATTACAAATGATGTTTATAATGGCACAAATGCAAAAGGTAGTAATGCTAATAAGAGTTGAAATAATTATTTGTTCATCACATAATTAGTTCTGCAGAAGGAAAACAAAAACAATCACAGAGAACAAAAATGATGAACCAATGAAGCAGATGATTGGAAAGTATTTAAATTAATTGGACTTTACACAAATCATAAAGTTTTTCTAGTCTACAGGAGCTTTACAAATGTATACGATGAATATGAGAAGTCTGTAACATTCTTTTCTTAACTAAGAGACATTTTGGGTAAACAGCTGTAAGCACAAACCATTACACTGCTGCAGGAGTATGAGGGCAAAAAATGTCTATAAAATTTTTTTTGTAGAGGCATTTCATAACATTTTTTCTGTGTAACATGAAAAAAAAAAGTGCCAACTAAAAAACAATGAAAGTTGGTAAATAACGTCGCAGATTTTTTTAAAGTGTCGAAATTGAGATTTGACAGGTTACATAAGCCACTTGCTCTAGACCATACATGCATCAGGCACAAGATTTTTACCAGGGCTTTTAAAGGAAAGGATTTGAATCTTCCAAGCTTTAATTAAACAGAATTTAATGATGATTATTACACATAAATAAATGTTTTTTTTTAAAACTTTGATGAGCTTACTATTGAGCTTTTAATTTGGGATGTATATATATATATAGTTCGTCCATTGTGGTTCGATGATGACCACTTTGTCATCCAGGGGGCTGAGGGCCTTGCACTGAGGTTTTATGCCTCCGCATCTGACTGGTAAGACCTATGTTAGCCCTGAATGTTCGGATGCATACTGGGCAGGTTATTCCAGCTGGAGCTAGTGTCATTTGCCTTGCTTTTCTTCTCTGGCGTTTTTCTTCTGCCAGCGTTGTTCTTTTTTCCTCAGCTACATGTATTGGGATGTATTGGAGTGTTGGCAACTAACTAATGACTGAAATGGCTTAAAGAACATGTAAACCTTAGTATCATATTTTTCACACTTAAGGTTCAATTACTTTGGATACCATCATTAATGAGAATCATTATAAATAAAAATATACATATACACAATTGTCTTATTTACAAATAATCAATCATGGTAAAATTATAAACATTATATTCTATCATAATAAATCTCTTTTTATAATAAAATATTTGGTTTTAAAGTCATTAAATGGTTTAAATTTATGTACAAAATAATCTAACAATGACTTGAACTACCTTAAAAACTATTTTATATTTGATATAAATAAGGCAGTGATGTCACTGTTGACATATCTGCACTTTATACATCACATAAATATAGATGTATATTGACTATCTTAAAGTGCAAGATTCAAGAAGGCCTGGCCACTTGAACACTATGTTGAATGAATCAGTCTAGTTCTTCAGCTTTATTTTACTACACACTTTTGAACATTTCCTAAGTTGATTCTCCACCTTCTGCTAAAAAGAAACAAACAAAAAACAAGTTTGGTTTAATAAAGAAGATAAAGCTGAAGAGAAGATAGTTCCAGTCTTTAGAAAAGTTCCCCTTTCAGACCTTGTAATTTAGGGCAGATGATGTAAAGGTCATTTGTTTCTGTGACTAACGATTATCGAGGGTGTCATGTAGCCAGCACAATGACCAACTGCCTTTACTTTTCCCCAACTAATGTCAGGTACCCAATAGAGCTGGGTGGACTAGAGACGCCCAATGATTCCAAAATTAAAAATCCCAGTCTTCACAGGATTTGAAACCAGGACCCCCAGTTCAGAAGCCAAGCGCTTTACTGCTCAGCCACCATGCCTTCTCTAGTCTTTAGAGCATATCTAAATCAACCACAAAAACAGGTGAATAATAATATCAAAAAGAGAGCCTTAACAGAACAGATAAAATCAAGTTTATACAGGATTTAAAGTCTATACAGAATTTTTCATTCTTTAAATTAATCAGCAATATAAATATAAGTAATAAATAAAGATCATCTTTTCATATGGCCAAAAATTAACACCATTAGATAATGCATGGACCTCACTATCACAGAAAGCTAAGAAAAGCAAATTACAGAAAGGTATGAAAGGAACTGGGAAACAGTAGTGTCCTTTCAATAGTCTAAAAATAAAAGCTGTAGAGCAAGTTAAATACATGGAATCTATTCGTGTGAAGCTTAGTGTACGGAACATTTAATTTTTTCTTAATACTTCATATTATTAGTATCATATTTGTCTCTTCTTTGTTAGCTAGACTTTTTTAATTCTCATCACTACATGAGTCACACATTTCAGAGAAAGAACTGCTCTTCTCTCTCAATGTATATTTATATATCTACCTCTAGAACTCTGGCTGTAAATGTAAAGAGTGTCCTGATCTGTTCCGTCACTTTGTCTGGCTCTATCAAAGTCATCCATGTGAATACAGCATAGATCTGTTAAGAAGTCATAGAATAGAACAAGATAAGTCAAAGAATAGAACAAGATAAGTTAGATGTTGGTGTTGTACTACTCTCTTACTGAGGAAACAACTTCAGAACTGAGGTAACTATAGAAGCTACTGAAAGGAATGAAATACTAAAAAATCACTTCAAAGGGAATGAAGAAAGAACAAGAAAAATATATACAAAAAAATAATACCTTCATTATACAACTTCAAATATGATAAATAAAACAATAAAATTAATTAAAAAATGTTTGGTTCAAACCAGGTATTGAATCTGTG